GTTCTTACCCACGAAAGCTTATGCTCCCAATACTTCTGTTAGTCTCAAAGGTGCCACAGGACCCTCTGTTGCTTGTATTGAAAAATTGTGGCATGCATCTGAAACAAGATCCTGTAAAATCATTGGCCTGAAATGTTAGCTAAATGATATAGGTACATTTTTACACATTTGGATAGTAAGATTTTCCTTGCATCAACCACAGTGACCACAGTATGTTTTTTCATGAAAAAATGGAACAAAGATGCATGTATTTCAGTACTGTTAAAGATCATTTATTTCTAATAGTGGAGTGGTGACTCAAAAGTTCTTTATTTTCCACCCCTTTGTATCACTAAAAGTCCTCTATTATTGTAAGAATGTATAACTGTCAAATAAAAGCCTGAAGAACACTGATTTTATCTCGACTAAACAGAAATGCTGGCTTTCCATGGCATACATGCTCCTTCAGGATGAGGTCTTCAAATTGCAACCAAAGGCTACTTACTCAGGGATGCATTTCAATGGAAGGCACATGCATTTGAGGGAAAAATTTGGTCCAGTCCTCCATACTGAGTGTAGTCACATAGAGCTACCTATATGAGTAAAGGCGGCAGGATTGAGCCCTAAGATTATTCTGTTAGTAATAACATAGCTTGTCAAAGGAAAGTGTACAATCTATGACAAAATAAAGTATCTTTGCTAATAAACAACCAAGTTTTTGGAACTATTACTTAATGAAACACACTTTCATTTTCTAAGGCCTTTAATCTAAACTTTAATTAGCAACTAAAGAAAAAAAGAAAAAAAAAGTCAAAAGAAATTCAGTAGTCCCAAAAAACTGACCTACTTGATATTCAAAATATTCCCCAAGTATCTCTAAACATTAAAAACTAAATATCTGAATTTAGGCTGATCAGATGAGGCTTTTCTATCCTCCTTTCATTACGCAAGGCCATTTCAATTACAGGTATGCCTCTTGTGGTTTACCACCTTTTCAAAATGTAATGAAGAGCAATTAGCTGCTCCCCAAAGTTTTAACAAGGGCTGCTATAATATGAGACTGCTTAGCTTGCTGCAGACTTCAAGATTATAGATGATCTGAGATGTAATTTGATTGCTTACAATCTGGCAAATAATTGCCTTGATTGCTTACAATCTGGCAAATAATTTATTGTGGCTCCCTTTAAAAAATCAAATCTTCTCCCCAGCTCCTAATAAAATATAATAATCAGAAAATATTGTTTGCCTTCTTATCTGCTTCAGGCTCAGACTCCACTGATTATAAAATAACTGGTGTATTATATTAGCTTTAAAAATATAATTTCTTTGTTTTGCTTTGCCACTCCTGTATAAGTGGACATTGAGACATGTCTGTGTACTTCAGCTTTTAATACAGACAGCACCCCTAACAGCCCTAAAAGTTGAGACTTCAAGTTCAGTGAGGATGAGTCTACAAACAGTTGGACACTTATCAGTCTACAAAACTAAGCAGGAAATCTCATGAGAAAATGTATTTCCCTCCCTGGATTTCTGTCATTTCTGTGCAGCAATTTATTCAGTCTTATCCAGAAATACCCTAAGAATAGTCTTTCTTTTACACTATTTTGGCACTTGAATTTCCAATCCCACCAAGAAAATGAAAGTGAAAGGTGAAAAATATTCAGTCAATCATTGCAAAAGCCTAGTAACATTTTGGTTTGAATTCAATTTGAAAAATCAGTAGGGATTTGGGTTGTAGGAATCTTATCCTTCAAACCTGGCTCTCCTAATCATGGTGTCTCATTTCATCTCATATTACTCTGGGGTAAGCCAAACTAAAACGGGTTATGGCTGCTGCTCTTCATCTTCTGCTCTCTTACAATTTGGTACCGAGTCCTAAAAGGGGATTTAAACAGAGTGCTGGTGTTGAGTATCTGTCACTCTGATTTAACAATTGTTTTCCCTAAGCATTGTTAGAGTGGAAAAAGTGTCAAGTGCTTTTGCATTTTATTAGTAGGGACAACACACAGAGGATGCTATATATTGGAGACATTTGTCTAATCAGTGTCTGGTCTCTCAGAAAACAGGTGTTTATGGAAAACTGTAATTCTGGAAATACCCAGTATGCAGTCTTGATGATAAGGAAAATCTTTGTAGCAAGGTCCTGACCCATATTAAAATATTGTAAAGTATGGATGCTTTTAGCTTGCTCCACAGTATGAGTCCTAAAATATTTCATTTGAGAGAAATCAAGCTAATGGGCCAGTAGTTTCATGGGTTGAATTTAGCTGCAGCCAAGTAGAAAATTAAAATAAGCTAAGCTTAAAGATTGTGCTGAGGTCAGGTAATATTTGGGTCAAGTTGAAATTTCAACACATTTACTATTAAATTTTTATTTCAGGTCATTCAGACTATCAGTGCCACTGACAAAGATAACTCTGCAAATGGGCCAAGATTCCATTATTCTCTTGATGAAGGCCTTTCTTTGAATCCCAACTTTACCCTAAGGGACAATGAAGGTAAATCAAAGACATTAATCTATAAGAAGTGGGACTCTGTTTTGTCTGGGATGTCTCATTGAACAAAGCAATTGTGCTCTGTTTCTGCACAATTCTTCTCAGGAGGTGAAAACTATAATCTATCAATGTTCTACTGGCTGATTCCAAAGATACCATATTTGTACACATTGCATTGTGAACTATGAATAACCAGGACTATGTTTCAAAAATAGTCTTTTAGAAAATGCTATTCCATTTTTATATTCTGTTCTATTTTATACCCAGCATGTACGCTTTATAGTCTTTTAATCCACTCATGGTTTTTTTTAAAATATGAGTTTGAGAAATATGTTTGCAATCTCAGTGCACTTCCTAGTTGATTATGATAAAGCCACCACCACTACACCAATATGAATTATCACTATGGCTGGCATTCTTACAAGAGAAACCAAGTACTGAAGGAAAATGAACTCCCTCTCAGTCCTAGAGGTCTGTATACCAAAGGAGGGCCTCCAACGCTGCCCTGGGAATTATATGACTGCACTATTCCGCTACAGAGCTGTGACTAAATGGTGCACTCTAGCCCTTTGCCAACTTAAAGCTTTCATTCTGTTCAGATCATGATGGAGCATTGTATTCAGGGATGGGAGATCTACCCCTGAAATGAATGCAGAGTATACTTGTGTGCCTTTATGTTTTGAACGTTGAAGGGAGATTCAAATAAATTCACCAAGTGTTTGAATGTTTTCACGTTTGGGATCACAGCTGCACTCATTTCAATGCACAGAGCTTTAGATATTTGCATACTCTTGAATGGATATATTTAGATCTCTGGATCTTGATATATTATTAAACCTTTGGAGCATTTGAACAATTGTATGCTCTAAACCATACACTTATCTGCCCACCAGCAAAATATCAATGTTCTAAGGATTAAGGGCCATAATGTGACTTGGACTACATATTCACACATACGGACATGAGGGAGAGTAAGAATTTCCCTTACTTCCATGTGCAAGCTATCCAGACTTGAACTGGAGTAAGCGATTGCTGCTGGCCTACTATACCCCTTGGAGCATATGAGTGTGAAATATGGACACCTGGAGTGGAGCACTGGCTCCACCACCGCCAACTACAGCTGATATATGGTGTGTCATAATTCGCTTTTGGTATAGGACAACAACAAATGACTACCCCTCTAGAGCAGGGGAAAGTAGAGGGGGAAATTGTGCCTCCAAAGGCTGTCCATGAAGCACAATGCCTCCTTGGTTTGTGCAATTTATATAGCACCCCTTCTTCAGAGCTGTGCTGTTAGGCACAATCTAGCCCTGAAATGTCAGTGGAAAACATATACAGTGTATGTGTAATATGCAGTTTTCAAACACTTGAAACTTTGGTATTTCTAAACCATTTTTTCAGACTTGGCTGAAGACACACCCCATGCACATGACAACTTTGAACTTTTCAAACAAAATCATTTCAAAGCTATGCATGCGCAAAAGAAAGATCAGAACAATTTAATAAATTGGTTTTGTTTTAGGACTGGATACATTTATAATGGCTGAATATTTGGGGATTGTTTAGCTTACAAAAAAAAAATCAGTGTTGGGCTGAGAACAAGCTTGAGGAAAATCAATTCTGCAAAATTCAGCTCTGGATTTAAGGCCCAATAAACTACTGCATTAATTCCATTTTACACCATTTGACATCAGTGGGACTACACTGATTTAAAACTGAAGCTATGCAATGGTGCTTTAGCCCACCCTGGATTTTAATCTCTGCTTTCAAAACTCTGGGTGTTTGGAGCCAGGATTTTGGCACAGAGATAAGGAGGAGGTCTTGAAATTTAAAAGTGGAGTTGGGTTTGGATTCCTAAATCTAGAAGGGGAGCCAGGTGCTGATACTCCTGCTTATGTTGAGTATATCATACTTCTCAAGTAGATTCATTGAAGTTGATTGAGTGTCCTCATGAAATAAGTACTATTCAGTGTGAACAAGGGTATCAGAATCAGACCCAGAGGGATCAGAGAATACTACCACCAGCAAAATTATACAGTATGTACACACAAATACAACAAAGAAAAACAAAATATTGCTACACTGAAGAAAATCACATACATTTTTAGTTAATCATTTAATCCTGCAATTCTAGAAAGCAAGATCAATGAAAAATGCCTTTTCAATTATTTGGGAGTTGGTCCTGTATAGGGCTATTTGAAAGTTTTCTGCTGCAAATGTTTTTTGATTGAAAACTAGGTTTTCAAGAAAATGATTTTTTTTTCTTTTTCCTTTTTTTTCTTTTTGCAAAATATACTACTTTCTGAGGAAAAGTTTGACTTTTTGTCCAAAAAATTGAATTACCCCCCGCACTTCTCCCCTCCCTCCCCCCCGCCCAAAAAAGATTTTGTTTTTCAGTAGAAAACGGAAAGTATTCAATTTGGAAGACCTATTGTGGTGCCTCATGGGACTAGTAGTTTGGTTCCTTCATGCCCACATTCTACTCCATGCCTTCAGGGTCCCCAAGCAGAGTGCATGACTCAAAATGCACACAACCAGGGACTCCTGTTCTTCATACGCGGGCTCAGCAAGAGAGGAGACAAAAGTACATCATGGTAGATATAGTCCAGCCTGGGAGCCTGGCTGATGGAGAAGGGGGAGCACATGAGTTACAACTCCCATGAAGCTGTGCAGTGGCATTTCTGAGTCAAAACATTTGGGTTTCATCTGAAAGTTTTCTGGTGAAAATTTTTGGTTTATAAACTTTTGCCAAAAAGTCAAAATTTTCTGTGGGGAAAAAAAAATTCTGAGCTGCTCTAGTCTTCTTTAGTCTTCCCACTTTGTTCTGTATAATGTTGCTAGCACTGGGCATTATGGAATCTATTTGAAAAAATATTCTGGTTAGTATTTTGTTTGTTTGTTTTTTAATTTATCAGTAATGTCTTAACTTGGCAGTTATTACTTAGTCTAGCATAGTTACTATCATTTTTTTGCAATACGGTTGCCTGTTCACCCAGTTCAAAATCTGCTTGTTTAGTCTGCCAGTGTGAATCTGCTCTTTATTATGAATTCTGTGCCCGCCCAAATGGTCTCTTTTCCCACTAATGTGTTGTTGATTAGCATGCTTAATTCCTTTTATATTTTTTTAACCTTATCCTTTCCTCATGAATTCTAGCATAAAGAGAACCTTTCATATGGATCTTCCCAACCTATATGGAAGGTGGTCAGTCAGATACCCTAATTTCTCTGTGCCTCAATTCCTTTATGGATTTCGGGATCTGTGCCTCGGAAGGGAAAGGGGTCAGTGACAAGAAGGACATGCCCTACTCCCCAAAGACAGCAGCAGAAAAGACAGCAGCATGAATGCATTCTACATAAACTGTTCCTCGAGTCTTTTCCTGCTGGGAAGGCCCCTTACAGGAGTTTTCACAGTTAGAGACACCCAAGGAAGTCTTTGCTGCAGGACCACACTGTCAGGGAGCCAAAAGGAGGGGAGATGAACCTCTTCAGAATGCAGAGCTGGTTGACAAAATTTAAATTTTCAAAACATCAACAACATTTTTTTCTTTGCAAAAAGCTCACACAGTTTCTCAACCAGTTTGCAGAATGCTTGACATTTTTGTGGGGAGGGGGAGGAAAGATTTCAATGAAAATTTTTGTGAATGTTTTTCAGTCAGCTCTGTCTACTTCAAGCTGTGGTGAAAGCCCAAGACTTCTGTACAGATATATAGGTTGGTATGGACATAGCCACACACATGCATACAGAGTCTGTCTGTCTGTCTCTACGTGTGTGTGTATGTGTGTATATATACACAGAGAGAGAGAGGATTAGATTGATAGATCACTTCCTCTCTATTTTGGTTCATGCTGTAACCTGCAAGCAGAAGTTATACTGCCCTTGAGACACTTGGGAGAGACTGTAACCTCTAGAGGGAACTTAGGGTTACCATATTCAAACATTTAAAAAAGAGGACACTCCAGGGGGCCCCGGTCCCACCCCCGGCCCTGCCCCAACTCCGCCCCTTCCCCGCCCCCGGCCCCGCCCCAACCCCACCCCTTCT